AAAAAAAAAAAAAAAAAAAAAAAGTCTCGCCTACTATATATTACGTTGCTGGTTGCGTCTACTCGGGGGAGTCATCAGAAGTTGTGGCGTAACAACTTACCTTCTTCTTCTTCTACTATATATCTACATCTTCCTAAACTACTTACACAGGCCTACCGTTGGCCTGACACGGGTACTTCAATCCAGCATTCATATCAAAACTAATTCTATCCCTCCTGTTCTCTCTCGCGTACCCATTGAGAATTGGTTTTCAACTTTTCAAGCAAACAAAAAAAAAAAAAAAAAAAATCCCTTACAGGCTTTTTTACAGCTGAAAACAAAATGAAGCAGAGCTTTCCCAAAAAAGAAAAAAGAAAAAAAAAAGCAGAGGGCCTTAGGACACGAGATTGTCTCCAAGATCTTAGGGCACCTCGTTTGTCCTCTGGCAGCTGTGCTGCCACATGGTCCACACAAGATGCATAGTGTGCGCTTCCTGAGCCAGATACACACCTGGATTCCCACAGCACTACCCGTTCTCCTCGGGCAGGCACTCGAAAAAGAACAAGTTCTTTTCTTTTTTTTTTCGTTTTTCCTTTCTTTTAGGTGCCAACAAGGCAGGAACACTTTACTTTTCTGCGCCCGTATGCGGACACAGAATGGGCGCAGATACACAGCCTGTGAATCACTTCATACTTGCCTACAGTGGGGCGTTTCTGCACTTTTTCCTGAAGTTTGAGGGCTTTCTGCCCTCATATAGTGCATGCCCGCCATGTGGCGGGCGTTTTGCCGACTCTGTTCCTTTTGTTTCAGGTTTTTTTTTTTTTTTTTTTGCTATAGCTGGGCCTCGTCCGTGCATGTGTCTTCACAGTCACATACTGAACGTGTACCAGCGGGCAAAACAACAGTCCATTTGCCTTTTTCTGCTGGGCCCACCTCTTTCTCCCCCGATGCACTACCCTGCCTTCCCCGAGCCTCGAATTTCTCTTGTGCGACAAGTTTACTTTTCTGCAAGGCTGGGGTCGTTTACTGGCGGTTTAAGTGGTCAGTCTTCCCCCAGGCAAACCGTATACTGTGTATACTACGGCGTATAGTAACATATAGTCTAGTCTTTAGTCTATTATTACGCACCCCGGGCAACCATATAATGATGTGGTATTTTACTCTATAGTATATACTCTATAGTATATACTACACAACACTACATAGTCCATCTGCCCCAGGCGGTACAGAGTCGCTTAGTGGAGAAGCATATATAGTACATATATAGTATATAGTATATACCAACCATTTCAGGATCCGTTTCAAACCGTGCCTGTTCAAACTCCTGGCGCGCACTTTGTCGGATCACCTCCCTCCTGCAACCAGCAGACGGTTCAACAGCCCACTGCCATTAAAAAGGTAGAAGTGGGGAGGGGGGCGTGGGGGGGGGAGGCAGGGGAGGCGGGGGGAGTCATGTACCTGTCTTTCAAAGAGAAAAGAAAAAGAAGAGGAAAAAAAAAAGACAGAAGACGAGTGCTTCCTGACAGGTTCACCTGGGCATATCCACACTGCAACTCCCCCAGTTCACTGGCTTCCAAGGTGTCTTTTTTTTTTTTTTTTTTTCATCAAACATTCTTCTTTCGCAGTACTACTACTTTTTGAAATTCTAAAAACAAGATTACGCATAACTAGAATATAAGTAAGTTTGTTATTCTGTATGAAATTATTAAGGATAAGGTCTTTTTTTTTTTTTCCTTTCTTTTTTGGGGAAATTTGCGTTATACCCCTCAAAGTTCAGATAACTGCCAAAATGTCCCTAAGAGATGTGGGTTGAGCGGAATACCCTTCCAACAGTTTAAAATCTTTGCAAAATGCCCTTCACGACAGTTCGACCGGATGTATTTGCAACATACCCCTTCCGGGTACCTGTCCAACTTTCCAAAATACCCCGGTACGTGCCAACTTTCAAAGGGGCCAAAAAATTTTCACTTTGGCCCTACCCGCCCACAATGGCATCATCTTTTCAATACAGCCCCTTGCCCGTTAGGCCCAATTCCTGTTCCTACTCCTCACCCTTCGCCACGCCCATACCTCTCTCCTTCCACCTCCCTCTTCCTCGCCCCCAGCCTTTGTTGCCTCTCTTCTCCCCCTTTGATCAAGTGGAACGCAAATTTATTTACAGAGTAGAAGGAACAAAATGCAGGCATCCATAAAGTGAGAAATGAACACAAATTGACGCCACCATTTCAGATCAGTCTGACAGGTGTCATCGTTAAATTGAAAGTTGGAAGAGTCATAGTGGCAAGAGCGCGATTTGGTCCGTACGAGGTCCGTGTGTGTGTGTGTGTCTGCGTGCGTGTGTGTGTGTGTGTGTGTGTGTGTGAGAGAGAGAGAGAGAGAACATGCAAAATGACAACGAATCTCCCACTAGAACATGGAAAGATACAGCACAACATCTTTTGTGTAAGAAAGCCAAAAAAAATGGTGGTGTATCTTCCCATGTTCTAGCGGCAGATTCATTCTCTTCCTATTGGGATCGGGATCCCATTCAGGTGCAAAAATGAGAATGAATCTCCCGCTAGAACATGGGAAGATACTCTCTCTCTCTCTCTCTCTCTCTCTCTCTCTCTCTCTCTCTCTCTCTCTCTCTCTCTCTCTCTCTCTCTCTCTCTCTCTCTT